TTTCCCCTGCTTACCTGCTACTGCAGTCACTCCGCGTTACACCTGCGCCCAGCCGTCTGAGGCTTCCTGTGGGCGGGCAGAAGTGCCTTGGCCAAAACAAGTTCAAATACCTTTGTTCCCTGATCTCGGCTTTTCCTTAGCTCTTCTGCTTCCCTGTATTCACTTTCCCTGTATTCACTTTTCCTGTATTCACTCCTGTAAGTACTACAAATACTCCTGTGAATACCGTAATACTTCCGTGTATTGACTCTCTACCCGTACTCCTGCAGTCGCTGTCAAGAATATCTCGTTTTATAGTCATATGTTAATGAATGGGTTTGTTTTCAGTTTCATTTATAGTTGCAGAGTTTATAACTGTGGCCAAAAGACAAGTATTTAATGCCTGATCTCCACGCAGAAAGTATAATTTTTTCATTGTATAGTTTTTTTCATTATTAATTGCATTCAGTTCCGCAAAAGTTTTAAAAGGCACTTACCAGTGCAAAAAGACAGTACCTGCCTGTGACAGCCCTCTGATGTTCCTCAGAACCTCATCCTCTAGTTGTAGGCAGTTCTGTGGTGAGTGGGTCATGTTTTTGAAACGGAATTGTTGAACTTTAAAGGTGAATGAGCAGTTATCAATGAAGGAGTGTGACCACCAAAGAGGAGAAAAGGTGTTGACTGGCTGGAAGCGTACTGGGGTAATCAGCAACAGCATAAAAATCCCCAGTGGCAAAAATGGGAAGACTCTGATATGTCTTTCCAGAATCAGAGATGCTTTACTGTCACTCAACCCAAGCTTAGGATCTGCTCCCAGAAACTGATAAGTGCTGGACTGGAAAGTGTAGAAAACTCTTATATGTTGTGATAGTTCATTTTGAACTACAAAAGTAGTTAATATTAAGTTACCATACAGAGTTCCTTAATTAGTGTTTGTTTCTTCTGTTTCCAGGTGCCCCCTCTCCCCACACATGGTAAAGGCACCCGGAGATGGCAGTGTGTGAAGTTTGCTGCTGTATCTTGAGGTGTGTAACAGGAGTTTTCAGTTCCTCGTTCCTCCTGAGCTCTAAATTTCCTCACCACAGGAAGCTGCTTTGTTAAGGTAAGATGCTGTTCATCAGCTGGCAGAGGATGCTTCAACTCAGTCTCTGGGTGTCCATGTTTCTGGCTTCTCCTGAGTCTCTGCCACTCCATTGGGCTCAAATTTAGGGAAGAAAGATATTCTATCACATTATTTTTTAAGTGTGTCTCATTCTATCTACAGGCAACCTATGTGTTTAGTTCTAAATAACGTCTTCTTGTACAGATTTTATCAACGTTTTAGGTCTTGAAGTACTACACATACCACATCAGGACTTTTTTTCTTTTTTAAAAAAATGTATATATAGATAGTCTTGAGAGAGGAGTTTTTCTGCCTTATTTGCTTATCTTCATATTTCCCTATGTAGAGTTTGCTTTAGAGGTTTGCAACAGAAAAAGCATTCCATGAAATAGAATCTTGCTATCCAACAGTAACAGTTATAATAGATCTGTGTTTCTGATGTTTGTTTGTTTTTTTTTTAACATAGGAAATGTCAAATTATTTTGAGGCTAGTTGTTTTTATTTTTTGGGCAACTGATGAGCAGTTTTCCTTATCTTCTGATGTGTTAGTATTGAGTATTTTTTCACCTGTGTTGCTTCAGGGATTTTTCTGATGGTTCACTCATAAAATATTTTCTTTTTTTGTTTTCTAAGGATTTGCTTACATTTTGTCTGTCTGCTGTGTTTCCTTTGTCTTATCTGTGTGGTCAGTGCAAAGAATGGGGTAGCTGGCGGACTCCCAATGTCAGCTTACTCCCAGGAAGAGCAAATTGAGCCAAAGCTAACTTTTCTTGTGTGTCTTTTTCCTTTTTTATTTTTTTCTTCTTTTATTTTGTAAATTGTATTTGGAGGGGATTTCTGCCAGCCAGCAGTTCTCACCTGAGTAGTGTTAGAGGTGTTGCAACAGTAGTATTCTGGAAGGTAAATTGTTACCAGAAAGAGATCAGTCATGCCAGGGTGAGTTCAGTTGATTGATCCACTTGCTTTGCTTGTTCTCAAACACAACATGAGCATTTAGAGAAGAGGTGATGTTTTGGCATGTTTTGCTGCAGTTCTTTTTTATGTTACTGCTACTGTAAGGATTAATGAGAAAAGATTAGCAGTCCAAATACTGTTCCATGGGAGCAATGTTACAGAGAACTGAGAAGCTCCATTGGTTTTCGCTTGGTGGCTGCAATTCCTCTTCAGCAGCTCTTCTGAACGAGTTTTAGCAACTGCTGTTTCAACAGCTCCTGAGTTTTATCTCCTACTGAATCTTCATGTAGTTTTTCTACTCTATTTACTTTTATAGAGTTGCACTTAATATATGACTGAACTAGGATGTTCCAAGTGGTCCAGAGAACAGTTCCTTTCATTGTGTTTCTAGACATTGCGGTCAGTAAAGTTGAGAGGATTTAATCTGATAAAATGAAAGTTTACTGGGCTGTTTGGTGCAAGGGAGAATGACAGTGGCATGGCACAAGGCATGATGGTATTCCAGGTCCTGTATGCAGGACTGTAAGAATCTTAAGATCAAAATCATCTGTGCTGTGCTGTGTAGTTGTAAAGTGGGTGTTTATCTGTTTTTGCACTTTTTTGAAGTTAAATAATGGTAATGATTGCATTTTGAAACGTGTAAGTGCAGTGCCTGACAGAGACACACATCCCCAACGTGATTTGTGTTCTGAAATATTGACAGCTGTTACAGTACTTACCAATAACTTGAAGTATGCAATGACAAATGTGTACATAGGTGTCAATTTTTAGTATTTTCCTATACCATCTCCTACAAAATTGACCAGATTTGTCCATTTAAAGAGGCTAATCCTTTAGGAAATTTCAGCCTATAAAAGGCAGCTCTATTCTCAGTGGTTTCTGTTGTGGTTCATTAATTGCAGACAGCAGCCACTGATACTCATTTTCTTTCTTTATTTTGAAGCTTGAACTGTATTGTTTGGGGACTCTATCTCCTGCCACTTTACTGAGACTCTGCTTCACCTGACCAATTTGAGTCTCTGTTTCTGTTAGCTCTCCTCCTGCCCTATGTGAAAATAGATTGTCTTAGTTCTTGTATTCCTGTTTTTTGTAGATATTAATTTGGTATCATAGGGTCCATTGCATGTGACTCCTGAATACCAAGTGGAGTTACCTGGAAAGACTTTTGTGAATTTAACCTAATTTTCTCTCTTTTTTTTACAAGTCAGTTTTTGGCTCCTGTTTATGGTGGGGTATGATGAACTTCCCAAGTAGCTTCAGTGCTGTGACTGTTTGGAAAAAACTCTTAGCAATGAATGGAGGGTTTTTCCTTGAGCCCAAGGAGCATGTGTTTAGCTTCTAGCACAAATGAATGCTTCCTGAGTTACCTGGAATGGTCTGAGTAAGAGTCAGGGCCTGTGCATCTCAACTTACCTCATTCAGCATCCTAAAATAAGCATTTTAGGTATTGTTTGGGATAAACAAAAGAAGAGGATGTCTAAAGTTCACTTTACTTTTGTACAACCATCGTAAGACTCAGGTTATGTTGCTTTATGTGTGTAGTATCTAAAATTTCACATATACATAACATGCATGTATGTATGGGTAGCAGGTGAGCCAAAAGCTATGGTTTCTTATTTAAAAGAGTTCTAACTTTTAATTTCATGTGTTGGATGCAAAGTGCCTGAACAGTTATGAGATTCATTAAAAGAAATGAACACAAGTTTGGTAATTCTGAATAATTCTCCTCTTTAAATAAGAGTTTTCCTTGTTTTTATTAAAGTGGAGTGTAGGGTTTGAAGAATAGCAGTAATGAAGAAATGAGCCACAAATGTAAAATCCTTCTCAGTTCGTGTAGATATCTGGGTGTTTCTCTAGTGCTGATCACTTCTAATTGGTATTTTTATAGGACCAGCTTACACTGACCTGTCATGGCATCCAACAAATTTGTCATTAAGGTAAGTAGAAGTCACAGCTTTAAAACAAAACTGTACTACTGGTTAGACTCTGTATGTTGATATTAAAAGTACATCCTTCAGGCTTCTGGTGCATAGTAGTACTTTGTATGAGCTTTTCTCTCCCTCTGGAAGCAAACTTGGAATTGCTGCTGTGTCATGACAGAGTGTGTCTGAGGTCAGCTGAGGATTAAAATGCTGTAACTAAAAGTGATTAGTTGTGCAGTTAGAATTAGAAACTGCTTGAACTCTCAATAAAACACTGTTTGCTACCTAAAATAAAATTTTTGGTGGATTCTTCTCTTACCGTAATCATGTAACATTATTTATGTATTTCCCAGGTGTAAGGGGTCCTAGTTTATGGTGTAGCAATGTTCTTAAACTATTTATCACACTTGACATTTTATTAGTCTCTTTTTTTGCCTCTTTTTCAGTTTTGAGGGATTAGTTGTTTCAYGTCCAATAAAATGCCATTGAAGTTCATTTTGCAAACAGTCCCAGACTTTTGGTTATGTGCTGAAGAGCAAAGCTTTTYAAAATATATTGTAATAAAAATAACACTTCATAATTCTTCTACTGGAACCATACCAGCTAATCAATAAATAAACCTAATTGTGATTAGTGCAACATACTATTCTCTTGAAAATGTTTTTTCCAGGACTTTTCCTAACACAAGAAATTTTTCCTCCAGGTATGCTTGAGTTTTCTTTGAGGGCAGCTACAGAATCCTTCCTGAGTGATCAGGCTGTGGAATATTGAAGCTTGGTTTTGTGGGCAACCAACTTGTTTAATGAGAAGACCAAACACTTTATGTTTGCGTGCTATGTGTTTGTTTCCAAGGAAAACTGTTGTCATTTGGTGGGATGTTTGCTTAATTTTTTTCCTGTTTAACAGGATTCTAAATCTTCACTTAACGGTATCATATCTGTATTATTCAGTGCTGCTGAGGTGGTACAGGACTTACAGGAGAAATATCTTTGATTTTGAGCACATTCTAGCTGATATTCTGAGTCTGTGCAGCACTGATATGGGTAACAACAGGAGCTGAGGCTGAAGGCATTGCTTTTCTCAACTGAGAGCTCTAGATATCATCAATATTAATGTAAGTGCCCAAGAAAACAAGTGGTGTGAGTTGAAATGTCTTTACTTGATAAAAAGCCAGAAGACACTTGGTTTCTGACCTGTGTCATTACAGCTTCATTATTCAGCATAGATGGGTTACTGGTGTTAAGCATGGGCCTTGCAGTCACCAAGTTCATCCCTGTCTGCCTGAGCAAGGGGTAATTTCTCATTGAGGATGTGTTTGTAGCTAAGCAATTTTACAGGTAAAGCTTTTGAGAGTGCCAATGGAATACAACTTTTTCTTTCTAATAGTATTTGAGAAATGAGGGGAAGTTTTTGTATGTACCAAATGCCGGAAGTTACTTCGACCTGATTGAAGTTCACTTTGTGCACAGATGTGCAACATTTTACTTGTTAGATCAGGTAAAGTTTTGCCTCTTTACATTCACTGGAATTGTACTTCATGTGAATGTTTTCTTTTTCAACACTGTTCGGCTTTTGTAAACTTTGCAAGGAAGATCCCTGTGCTGAAGATTCTGCTAAAAACTATTCCTGCTTTTCACTGCAGGGGGAGTACAGAAAATGCTACATTCTTAATTTTAGATTCCTTGTATTTAAATTGATAGGGGTATTTTACCAAGTCTGAAAATGTTCAGGACAGATGTGTTGGAGCAAGTCCACAGGAGAGACATGAAGATGATAGAGGGAGGAACCCCTTTCCTTTGAGGAAATTGTTCAATTGTTTGTGAGATTGTTCAGCCTGGAAAAGGCTTTAGGGTGACCTGGGGCCTTCCAGTACCTGAAAGGAGCCTACAAGAAAGATGGAGATGGACTATTTACTGCAGCATGGAGTGATGGGAAAATGAGGAATGGCTTCAAACTGACAAGGAGTAGGTTTAGATTAGATATTAGGAAGAAATTCTTCCCTCTGAGCGTGGTGGCACACTGAAACAGGTAGCCAAGAGAAGTTGTGGATGCCCCATCCCTGGAAGTGTTCAAGAACACTCAGAGCCCCATCCAGCCTGATGTGGTCTAATGGAAGGTGTATCTGACCCTGGCCGGGCACTGAAACTGGAGGCAGGATGGTCTCAAAGGCCCCTTTTAGTCTAAACCCCTCTGATTCCATGATTCTGCATTTCACGTGCCTCACCTTGTCTTCTGCATTCTCTGCTTTTTAAGCTTTCAAGTTTTGTGTATGTGATTTTTTTCGGTAAGAGAGCGAAAAGAGCAGCTTATCAGTCTGTCAAATCTTAGCTGACCGTCAAGAAAGAAAGCAGAAAACCGCTCTAACGTGTTCTCTTTTCAACGTGCGTGTCATCTGCAAATCTGTGCGCGCCGATGTAATGGTCGGTTACTTCCAGTGGAGGGAGCAATTGGTCTGTTTTTGAGAGGCGATCCTAAGCTCGGCTTTATGGGCAATTAAGAGGGATTGAAATAAACTAATTGATGCAGTAAAAKAGCTTTAAACATTAATACAAAAACTGTACTTAGGTCCTAAACACACTTTCTTCACCTAGCAAGTGGCTGGATGATACAGTGTTGTGATTTGCAGTAGATAATATTTTAGGCAACTTAATTTGATCATCAATTTTCAATTTTATTTTATATTGATATTTCATAAAGTATTGCATGGTAAAATAACCCCAGCATATGAATATAATTAATCTCATCTGTGTGTTGCTAAAGTATTTTACTGCTGTTCTAAGAAATAAATCTTAACTTTAATTGGTGAGACTTAAAGCAAAATCGTGAACTCTATATAGATTTCAAAAATAATACTACTAGAGCCTTGTTTAAAACTTTGGACAAAGTAGAAAGAATTTCTCTTACAGAATTGTGTAAATTGACTTTATTCATGCCAAGATGCAGAGCTAAATATAGTAATTTTTATGGCTGCAATAGAAAAAATTTGTTTACTGTTTTCTGCAATTTGTTCATTTGCCAAAGACAGAAGAGTAACTTGTTGCTACATTTCAATAGCTCAGCTCAAAGGGAAGCTTTTTTTTACTTTGTTTCCTACTTTGAGCACTGTTCTGTCTCAGATTTTTAGGCCTTAGATTAAGATAATTACRGTTTCAGTGTTCCCTCTGGTCATCCAGCTCACTGTGCAATTGATTTTTCAGCAGTACTGCTCCTTTTAAATTTAAAAATTTAAATTTTCACATGCTGGACATACATATGTAACTTACCTGATCCGGTCTACTAATTTTTTGCTTGCTTTAACTGGCAAGTTCATTTGAAACCACAAGCAGAGTTTTTTGCATTATATTGGGAACAAAGATAGAAATACTGGGTGTGATTGGACAGGAAAATGACAGTGGGATTTTAATATGATCAATTTTCATTTTGCTTGTGTGTGTGTACTTCACTTTTTTTACATTGATGTATCTTAATGTAATCTAGGTTCTAGCAGTAGGCAGAGGGAAATGGAAAGCCTTCTTGCTGTCAGACTGTGTGCCAGTATGGAGTGACATCCCTGTCATTTTAGGGTCTGCTCACAGACCTGTGGATTGTCTTGAGTCTGGAATAACAAGAGGAGCATTTATTTTGAAGTTTATTTTGATATTTCCAGTGATTTCTTTTTTAGCTACCAGTTGAAATGTAATACAGTGACAGTGCCTCAGCAAAGATTTCTCCACCAGCTGTGCCTGTCTGGGTGATTTTTGGTGATATCAAAGTGGGCTTGACAGATTAAAGTTCACATTTCTGTGAAGTTCCATTGAGTTGGCTGATCAATATTTCTGCAAATATTTATGGTTAAGCCATATTTTTGTGAGAAACTGGTAGGTTTCCTTCTTCTTGGGAGTTGTTTGGAGAGAAAAATCTATGGAGAGAGTAGATATCCTCACATGGTTTTTTATTTACCTCCGATCCCATATGATAAATGATAAAGGGTAACAGATGTGTTTACTTCCATATTAAGTCCACAGATACACGAGTGCAGTGCTCTCAAGTGGAGAGTGAGGATAAGGAATGCTGTTTGTATTGAAAGTAATTATTTTATGTATTGTGACTGCTCAGAGTTATGAGACTGATTCTACAGCTGCTTTTTTATGTACRTAGTTGTGAGGTTGTTAGCATTCCTGATTTGAGAATTAGGTTATTTTAGAGAGTACTCAGTTAAATTAACCAATAAATATAGTATTTTCTGATGTTCATTTCTTTTCCCCTTCACTGCAAAATGAAGACATTTGTATGTGAAATTCCTGTGGTTGGAGTACTCACAAATGTTTGAATAGAAACATGCTAAGATTAGGTTTCTGTCACTAAACAGGATTTTTTTTAAAGTATTTTAAATCTAAAACTAAATCAAAACTCCAAACAGATAAAGAATTGTTGAATTTTACRTGTGTTGAATTTTATTGATTTCCTGCTTGGATATTTAAAAATTGAGAACTATATTAACCATTAAATAGTGGTTTTCTAGAGATGGAATTTTCCTAAAGTGGTATTGCTCAGAACTGCTGGAAATACAGGTGGTTGAAGTTGTTATTATCAAGGAGCATCACACTTCACTCAGCTATCATGTGTGTTTCTGCATGAATGGATAAAATAGGGTACTTGTCTAAAAGGGCTTAGAAGTCCTAAAGAAGATGATGAAAAAGGGGCAGGAGAAAAGGTGATTTAAAATAGGAAGTGCAAACAACAGCAATGGCTGGAGGGACATCTATTTAGTTCTCTTTCTTAATGCTCCATTTAATTCACAATTTCATGGGACCAGATATGGAATAGCTGAAGTGATGAGTAAATAAGTTCCAGAAGAAACAAAAGAGGAAGTTGGGAGGTAGAAGGGGGAGGAAARTTAAGTGCACAATATAATTCTAAATCTCCTGGAGTCAATGGARGTTTCCTCACTGACCTCAGAGGATTAATTTTCAAGCCTAGGGAAATGATGAGTGGATGAAGAGTTGAGAGATTAAAGTGTTAGCAGAAGGAGAAAG